ATTTTCCTAAAACATCTATACAGTTTTGTAGACCAACTTCTGATTCTGATACAAGGACCAGATCGTCAGCAAAAAACATATGATTTATTGGCATAGTATCTAGATATGCAGGATTTGTGCTTACATTTTTAAGATAATTCACAAAATCATCAACAAAGATATTGAAAAGTGTTGGACTTAAATTATCACCTTGTTTGACTCCTCTATTAGCTTTAAATTTTTCACTCATTTGATTGTCCTTTTTACAAGAATAGTATGTATTTGTATACATGTCTGTCAAAAGTTTGAGAAAGTTACCACCAATACCCTTTTTATTCAATTTGTATAAAAGTGCAGATCTCCACACAGTATCAAATGCTTTTGAAAAATCTACAAAGCACACATATAAATTCTGTTTCTTTGTATAAAGATATTTGTTTACAAGTGTTTTTAGTACAAATATATTGTCAGTGGTCCTATGACCTTTTCTAAATCCAGATTGATATTGACTTAGTAGGTTATTTGACTCAAGATAATTATCTAAGCGTTTCTGTAAAAGGCCTGTAAAAAGTTTTCCTAAACAACTTGTAACACTGAGACCCCTATAATTGTTTGTATTATTAGGATCACCGTTTTTGTATAATGATGTTATAAGTGAAAGGTTCCATTCTTTGGGCATTTTTCCATTTTTAAGTAGAATATTAAACAGTTTTGTAAGGACAGGTAAAAGGGTAGTATTGTTTGTTTTAATAAACTCATTTAAAATTAAGTCAGGCCCAGCACTTTTACCATTTTTCAGCTTTAAAATGCTTTGTTCTATTTCATCTTGAGTAAACAAAAAGTCTAATGGATTTGGTTCAGTATTTAGTTCAGTGTACTTGTATTTCAAGCTCTCTTCATCAGTATATTGAATGTTCAGTAAGGATTTGTAGTGGTCAACGAATTCTGAAATTCCAATTGTTTCTGCATTAGTTTTCTTTGATTTATTTTCTTTTATCTTATTCCAAAATTTACTGGAGTTTTGTGGCGAAAGTGTGTTAATTTGTTCTGCAATACTATTGTAAAAATTAGATTTAAGACTTTTTCTTAGTTTATTATAATCTTATCTACATTTTGCAAAGGCATGTTTTAGTTCACAGTTGTTTGGATATTTGTGTACTTTCTTCCCTAAATTTCTAACTTCTTTTCGTAGGAGTAAGCAATCTGTAGTCATCCATTTTGGTCTTTGTTTATTTTTTTGTTGTGATTTTGTAAATTTTGCAGGTTTAAATGGAACACTTTTATTAGCTGCATTAATTATAATACTTGATAGTTTATAAACAAGATCATTTGAATCATATGTGTTATCATCATATATTTGGTCAAGTAAATTATCCAACATTAGTATTTGATTTTTAGTTTCTTCCTCATTAATAGCTTCTGCATATTGGTTTTTACAAGTGCTTGACCAGAGATATTTCCCCTTCAAAGAGTGCATTTTATATTTTTCATTGCAAAACACATTTGTGTTCATATTAATACTTGCAGTTATAAGGCAATGATCTGATATTTCTGTAGGAGGTAATACATTAAAATGTTCAATTTTATGATACAACTGACTTGATGCCAACATATAGTCAACAGTGCTTGAACCATTAGAATTAAAAAATGTAAAATAGCCAAGTGAGTCACCAAGAAATCTTCCATTCAGGATAGATAATCTATATGTTTTGCAAATATCTGTAATTAGGTGTCCATGTAAATTTGATGTCTTATCAAGTTGGTTTCTGTTCACTGAAATGTCAGGTTCATATATGTATTCTGGTAGAGGGCAATCCAAAAATGTATCATTCAGTGTGTCATGTTGTATAAAATCTTGCAGCCCTCCTGTACGAGCATTAAAATCTCCACAAACAAAAATTTCTCCTTTGCTTCTATAGTTTGCAATTTCATTTTCTAAATTAGAAAATATTTCTTCCGATTTTGCCTTACTTATGTATGGTTTTATATAACAGAAGCAAAAATAATATGAATCAATATTCTGTTGTGATTTTGTATTTCGAGTGTTAATTTCAAGCCAAATGCTATTTTCACTTTGAAATACTTTTTTGAAGTGTTTGTATATTGTAGGTTTAATATATACATGTAATCCACCTGATGGTCTACCCCTTTTCTTTGTCTTTTTTGAGTTCAATACAAATGGTGGAGAAAATCCTGGAAGATTTCTTGTTGAATCCTTCAGCATTGTTTCAGCTAAACAAACAATATCATATTTTGTACAAAAGTTTCTTAAAAGATCATCATTTAACTTTTCATCACTGAGACCATGTACATTCCACTATGCTATATTTAGCGATGACATTTCAAAATTATAAGAAAAATCAAGCTAACATTCTGACAGTGACATAAAAATATAAATGGCAGATACATATATCAAGTTTAGAACAACCATTTAAAACACAACCAGGTATATATTGACTACTCTTACTTCAGTTTTACAACACACAACCTGAGGAAAAGAGAAATAATAATAACAAGAGAGTATTATGACTTAGATAATGACTAGATTGAATGATTGGTATCATGCTGGTCTTCCATGTATCTACAAAAATTTCAACGTCTGTTCTAGAAGTTCTCTCATTTGAGACTCCTTCGTTATTGGCTCTTGAACATTTTGGTTCCCCTGTGTTTTTTGTGGTTGATTTCGTTCAAGATGTTTATTCTGGTGCTTTCGTTCACTTGTGTTTTGGTGGTTCTTGAAATTATATTGTCTCCATTCTCCACTTGTTTGCCATTGATCAATGCGGCGATGCTGTTTCCTTTGGTAATATTGTCTTTGATCATTTTGGTAATGTTCCCTTTTGTGATGCAGATGATTTTGTGATTCATGTTTTTGATATTGGTCATATGGTTTCATTCCTAGATGTGGATTCAGATGTTGCTTTATCATAATGACAAGATTTTTCCTTCCTATGTTACTAAAGTGCACTCCATCCCTTGTGTAATTTTGAGGATTTTCTGATGATATTTTGTTCATTTTGATGAAGTTTACACCATTTTCCTCACATAATTTCTGTAGTTCTCTGTTGGTCTCTGTAACTTTTTGGTTGTATGTACTGTCTCCATATCTTTCAAATATGGGTAGAATGTGAAGGACACAATTTGTTTTATTTTTAGTTATCATTTCTTTAAATCTGAGTGAGACATCTTCTGGGTTTTCGTTGGACAGGTCGTTACACCCAACTCCTATGATTAAGTGTTTTGGAAATGTTATACTCTGAATATGTTCCATTGCTCCCTTGATGTTCTTTTTTCCTGCACCCAGTACTGTTATTCTTAAATCTTTGTTCTTGTACATCCATTTTGGATCTAACCATTTTCCATGTGAGTCCATGATGACTTCAATAGGCAGATCTTGTTTCTTTTTTGGCATTTCACATGATATGTCTGACCTTGTTTGGTGCATTGCACCTGGTTCTTCAACATCAGTTGAGAGGGCTTCATATCTGTTTGCAGTTGGAATTAGACACTTAACACTGGTATTCTCTTCTAACATCACATTCATTTCATTGTCTTTCTCTTCATTTTTGTTTTCCTTCTGCTGCTCTTTCTCATTTTTGTTTTCTTTTTTGTCTTCTTTCAACCTGCTTATTTCTTTTTTGAGTTCCTTTATTTTCTCTTCCTTTTTTCCCATTTCTGCCAGTAAGTAGTTTATTTTATTTTCCAGTTCTTTATTTCTCGATTGAAGAACACTATGATTAATTTCGTTCTCTTGGCTATTTCTGGAAATGATTTCTTCCAAATTGTTTATTTTCTCCAAAAGATTGTTATTGAATACATCAATCTTTCTGTCCAAGGTGCTAAACCTTGAACAAATACCTGATTCTATGGTTTGCATATTATTTGGTGAGGCGACTGTGTTTGGAGAGATGATTCTTGGAGTTGAAAACGTTTTCTTATTACTACTAAGAAATGACTGGAATTCATCATATTCAGCTGACACGTCAAGTAGGTTTTTCACTTTTGTCTCAGAGTTGTCTTGTGTGGACATATTTTCCACAACAGATTTTAAGTGTGGAAATTCGTCATCTACCCAATGAAGGTAGTTGTTTCCCTGAACAGTGATCAAGTGGGTAGAAAAATATACATTGATAGTAATGATTTTTTCCATCTCCTCGCCTTCTATATCGACAGACAACAATCTAACTAGAACTTCATCGATTAATTCCTCACTTCCATCCTTCAATCTATCAATCCATTCACATTTGAATTCCTTTCTTTTACCAAACTGATAGTGATATCTGTAAGCTAAACATTTTAACCAGTTCATCAAACGGTTTTTGTCTTGTACCCTGAAGGACACCATTTTTGCATTTGGTTTGTATAGGTTTTTGTCTATATGCTCCAGCTCAGCATGAGCTGCTTTTCCAGTTGGAAGTTTTGGTACATCTGGGAATTGATAGTGTGCCGTATTTAGGACCGAGTCCCAATAAAACGAGTTCATGATCACCTCTTGGTCTGCTTTACTTATTTTACTGAAAACCGCCATTTTTTATTTTTGCCGCCGTTCGTGTACTAATTTTGTTTGTTTGTTTTCTCAATCCTTTTGGGTAATTTTCGCCATATGGGCAGTTTTTTCATTTACACTTAAGAAATATTCTATTTTCTGCTACATTTTAAATGTTGCCACTGTCATAATATCAGTTAATTTGACATTTTTAAAACTATTATTTACCACAGAATTTTTGGTGTGTTTCTTCGGAATCCCGATCCCGACACTATTACAAAAAGACAGAGGCAAAGGGAAAATCTAAGAAAATGTAATAAACAGAAAATTCAATGTTCTGTAGATGAGTATGTAATTTCTTTCACTTATGAGACAGTATTTTTTGATATTTCACTTGTGAGACAGTATTTTTTTTATTTTCACTTGTGCTTTGCACTCGTGAAAATATAAAAAAAAAAATCCTGTCCCACTTGTGAAATAAATTCCATATTCATCTACAAAACATTGAATATCCTCTACATATTTATCCTTGTAGAAGAGAAAATGAACAGACATCTGGCCTCAAGAGCTCAGTAGCACAACAAGGCAAGTTCACACCAAGTTCTAATGGTAGGTGGATCTCTTAGACTATCAAGTTCTGTGTAGCTCAACAAGCAAGTTCACACCAAGTTCTAATGGTAGGTGGATCTCTTAGGCTATCAAGTTCTGTGTAGCACAACAAGGCAAGTTCACACCAAGTTCTAATGGTAGGTGGATCTCTTAGACTATCAAGTTCTGTGTAGCACAACAAGGCAAGTTCACACCAAGTTCTAATGGTAGGTGGATCTCTTAGACTATCAAGTTCTGTGTAGCTCAACAAGGCAAGTTCACACCAAGTTCTATCAGTGGGTCCCTTTCAAGTTCTAAGTAGACTTGCTTTATTGGTGATTAATGCACTATTGTTAAGTCTGAATTACTGATTCAGATAAAAAAAAAACTGCTCAGTAAATTGGAAAATCCTTACCATTTTCAGGTGAACATCCCAACTCTTCCCAGAGAATTCTGTCAATAAAATAATAATAATGAATAACAAAGGGAATAAAAAAAAAATAACAAAGAGTTATTACTGTGATTGATGCAGTAAAACTTCGATATCTTGAACACAGATATCTTGGAATACCATGGATACACAGAAAAAAGTGGCTTGCATAAATTTTATATCAAATTTGCATGAAATTAATGTGAATTCTTTGCATGAGAAAGAGACAAAAACTGCTTTTTCTGTAATATGTATGTTAGTATTTTACCCTAGGTATCTTGAATCCTATGATATCTTGAATTTTTTTCTCGATCCCTTTGAGTTTGAGATAACAAGGTTTTACTGTATAATATTCATATATGGATTTTTATAGATATTGTATATATATGGGAGAAATTTTTCTAGGTTAATAATTCCTCTAAACTTTTTCATTTTAACAGTTGAAGATCCATCATTACATTCAAAAGAAACAAGCAATGACATCTCGCTTCAGTTAGAAGGTATGGAAGACACATAAAAAAAACAAGAAAACATCTGATTTAATCAACTGTTTTGAAATTTCAGAACAATAGCTCTGCTTCATTTGAACTTATACAATTTTTACATGACCAGTCCAACAAACTAGAGGCAAAATACACTGAGACAAACTTTTACTTGTCTAAATGTTAAGTCCTGTCCTCTAGGCCATAAAAAATTAATTAATAGTTTCTCAGGCCAAAAATTTCAAAATTCAATGTGGCAGGCAGGTTCTTTTTTCTTTTTTTTTGGAAGCAGGTGGTACACCTATTTTTTCATGTCAGTCATTCAACAAAATGATGATATTGATGCTGGTTCTTACTTTTTTTGTTCTCTTATGTTAATTATAATATATATTCAACTTTAGATTATGTTATTCCAAACAAAGTTAATTCATAAAATACCGTATTAACAAGAAATGTATTGTTTATCTAATAAAAACGTCTATCTATTAGCATTTATGGAAAGGGGAATAGCTCAATTTTCTTTTTCAACTTGGAAAAATAGAAAATTGAGTTATTTTCCTTTTCAATATATCAATAAAATTGATCAATGCGGCAGTGTTTGACCTGTTGCGGCGGTGCCTGAGAAACTATTGATTAATTTTTTTGGCCCTAAATATAATTATATATATATATATCTATACCTGTCTGGTGATTTTTATGAATGTGTACTGATACTCTTATTATAAACATTCTTTAACACATTTTGTAATTAGAGATCTAAAAAAAAATAATTCTACAAAATTAAACATTTTAGGAAACTTAGGCAGGGGGTAAATAAATTGACCAATTTTACACCTTTACTCATTGAATACTTGTTATCAAGTGTTTGCAGTATTACTAGTAAGTTTGTGTTTCTTCTTAGAGGAAGGATGGGGGGGAGGGGGGATCAGTACCTATAGGACAATTCAAGTTCATATATCCATTTCTAATTGTTTTCTCTGTGATAACTCTTTGAAAGTTAGGTGAGTTGATTTGTTGAAAATTCAACCGGAATGTTAATTTTGCCAGGTGAAAGGTCAGGGGTCATATATGCATGTCAATCTCGTGCGGCTGTGATTGTGTCTGACGTCAGTGGGCGTGGACAATTGAAATTAATATGCAAGGCCTCATGTATTTAAAATCTATGAGACAGCATTTTTTAGATTTATATTTACAATTTCATTTCACATATAAATGTAAATGTAAAGAATCACTGTCTTCACCCGTTATGCAAATTATCCCACATTTCCAACTTTCTTTGATGCCCTGGTATACACAACAAATAGACAGTGATTCCTTAATTAGTTCTCTTAGATTACTGTTGACTACATGAGTCCTCTAGTAACATTACTTTTTTTCCACACAATCCCTATCTCCTACTGTAAATAGTACCCAGTTTTTGACAGTTGATGATGGGGCAGAGTCTATTCATGCTGTAATATATGTCATCTCTTTCTCTCACTGTAAATTTGTTTTTGACAGTTGATGATGGGGCAGAGTCTATTGATGCTGTAATATATGTCTCATCTCTTTCTATCACTGTAAATAGTACCCTGTTTTTGCCAGTTGATGATGGGACAGAGTCTATTCATGCTGTAATATATGTCTCATCTCTGTCTCTTACTGTAAATAGTACCCAGTTTTTGACGGTTGATGATGGGGCAGAGTCTATTCATGCTGTAATATATGTCATCTCTTTCTCTCACTGTAAATTTGTTTTTGACAGTTGATGATGGGGCAGAGTCTATTGATGCTGTAATATATGTCATCTCTTTCTCTCAATGTAAATTTGTTTTTGACAGTTGATGATGGGGCAGAGTCTATTGATGCCGAATATATGTCATCTCTTTCTCTCAATGTAAATTTGTTTTTGACAGTTGATGATGGGGCAGAGTCTATTGATGCTGTAATATGTGTTATCTCTTTCTCTCACTGTAAATTTGTTTTTGACAGTTGATGATGGGGCAGAGTCTATTGATGCTGTAATATGTCTAATCTCTTTCTCTGACTGTAAATTTGTTTTGACAGTTGATGATGGGGCAGAGTCTATAGATGATGATGAGTCTGTTGATGAAGATTCCAGCAGTGACCTTGACCTTGAAGATGAAGAGGTTAGTGTGAAATGCATTGATTTGGTGTAATTTACTGCAGACATCTTTTTCTATGTTGAAAATCTGACAATTATAAGTTGCAGGTTTTTTGTAATAGTCTTAATTAAAAAAGGTTTAAACTAATTTGCAAAGAATCAGTAAATTATTTGAAATCATGTGTTTTTTTGGGGGGACATAATTATTAACAAATTTTAAATAATTAACATGATAAATAAACCTTAATTAACTTTTGTAAGTGCTTACAATTTCTAATCATGTAGGAAATGGCTATAAAAGAAGATCCTGACTCTGAGGAATACACCCCACAGAACTCTGGATCCACCCCTCAGTCAGAAAGCACCAGTAAATCTGTTGAGTCAGGGGGAGATAATCCCTCCCACATGATTACAGAAGTAAAACAAGAACCTGTTCATAATTACTGTGATTCCCTGGATTCTGTGCTACCAAGTGATACAAGGGAGATAAACAGGGGGGAACTAGAAACAATAAAAACAGAACTAGACAGCACACCTGAGAGCAACAGCAGTGGACCAAGAACTGCAAGTCCGAAGTCAACTCCATCAGTTCATTCCTCAGTTCTTGCACAGAATGTGCCTCAGAAAACTGTGCTGCTTACACAGCCAATAATAAAGAGAGTGATACCAAGTGCTAATGTGCCATCATCAAACATGAACCCAATTACAGGTGGAAATATAATGTCTACCCCATTGAAATTTGTTAAATTTGGGAATTCTTTATATCTACAGAATAATTCTCTACCTCAAACAATGTTAATGAATACCCAGAATGCAACACTAGTCAATCAACTGGGACTGAATCTTCAGGGCACCTCCGAGATCCCTACATCATCTAACTTTACAGTGTTACCAAATTTAGTTCAGAATGGTTTTATATCTTCACAACCTTTTATTGTTTCACCAGCAAAAACTGTTCAGTTGCTGACAGGAGGGCAGCAGATTTTAGCAGGAGCACAACAGCCTACAATCATAGGACAACAGCCTACAATAGGAACTCTACAGCCTACTACATGCACAATAGGTGGACAACAGCATGTATTAGGAGGACAACAGCCTGTAATAGGAACACTACAGCCTACAATAGGAGGACAACAACCTACGATAGGAACAGTGCAGCATATCATTAGAGGACAACAGTCTACAATAGGAGGACAACAATTTACAATAGCAGGACAACAACCTACAAAAGGAGGACAACAACCTACAATAGGAGGACAACAACCTACAATAGGAGGGCAACAGCCTACAGTAGGAGGACAACAGCCTACAATAGGAACACTACAGCCTACAATAGGAGGACAACAATTTACAATAGGAGGACAACAGCCTACAATAGGAGGACAACAGCATTCCATTGGAGGACAACAGCCTACAATAGGAGGACAACAGCCTACAATAGGAACTCTGCAGTCTACAATAGGAGGACGACAATCTACTGTAGGAGGACAACAGTCTACAGTAGGAGGACAACAATCTACAATAGGAGGACAACAGCCTACAATAGGAGGACAGCAATCTACAATAGGAACACTGCAGCATATCATTGGAGGACATCAGCATACAATAGGAGGACAACAGCATGCTATAGGACAACAGCTGACATTAAGAGTGCAAAAGGTTTCTACAAAAGAAGAGGAACTGATTGATAAAGATCATGAAGAGGAAGACAAAAAGGTTGAGTTATGTTATATAAAAGATTCCTTTTCTATATGATTCAAAATTTACAGGTAGAATTTAAAGGTGTAAGGTAAAAGTAATCAGTAACATCTCTAATACCTTCAGCTTCTATTATCAATGTATACTGTTAAGTAACACACATCTTACTTATAATCAGTATTAAAACTGTTTTCAGTCTTCAGAGGAGAGTTTAGGCAATGGAGGACCATTAAGGAGGCTCCTGACAGAGAAAGAAGGAGGGCAGGGCACCAGTAAAAGGTTTGCTGTCAGAAAAGAAACACAGAAACAAGAAGAGGACCAGTCCAAGACACTTAACAATAACAGTAAGTCAATTGTAAACATTTATTTTAAGACCACACCAACTTTCTATTTCAGAATTATTTAAATCAAACAAACCATTTTCTTCAGGTTTAAAAATTTCCTTATTTTTTTTCTAAATTTTTTAGTTGAAGATGCTGAAGTGTCATCCCCGGAAACCTCGACAGGACGCTTCAAAACCGTATCAGAGAGAGAAATCCGAAGTTTCCAGGAAGTCATTCAGACCAAAAGCACCAGGAAACAAACCCGATGGGCTGCAAAGATATTAAATGGTAAATACAGTTATACTGTAATAGAATTATTTGATTTACAATATGACAGCATTTAATTTAAGGAATGAATTTAATAGCTACCTATTTTATACGGTATAAACTGGGTTGGGGCAGTTTACGTTTTATAAAACGCGAAACGGTTGATGAAAAAGCGTAAAGTGTTCCAACCCAGTTTATACTGTATAAATTGAGTAGCTATTAAATTCATTCCTTATAATTTAATTTTCATTCATTTGGTGTAAGAAAAAAAGATGATTATCCTTAAAAAATGACTTCAATGTGTACAAAATTTAAAGTAACATAAGGTGGATCAATACGTTTTTGACGCAAGTCATTGTGACGTAGATAACCCATTTTATACGATATAAAGTAATTTTTTATCCAATCAAATACAGCGTAACAACCAGAATTAAATTATTTATCAGTAAGATTGAACACTGTTCATTCATAAACCTGGTATTTTTCTTGTAATTGGAATACTTGCTTTGATCATTTACCAGAACTTTTTTTTTTTTTTGAATCATACATAGTGAAACTAAAAATAATGTCGAGTGATGGTACTGAATTTGAAATATTGGGAAGTACATGTATTTGAGTTTTGTGTGTTTGTTTGTTTATTGTTTAACGTCCCTTTCGAGAATTTTTCACTTATATGGAGATGCCACCACTTGCCAGTGGAGAGCAACAAATATTGACCTATACTCGGCACTCAGGGCCATTGAACAGTGAGGGATCTTTTTCGTGCCAGCACCTACTGCGATACGGGACCTCGGTTTATACGGTCTCATCCGAAGGACCGGTCTCCATGTCCCACAGTGGGATTCGAACCCGCAACATAAGGATCAACTCCTTACTCCGCGACTCTAGAGCGAACGCTCTAACCACTGCGCCACACGGGCGACCATGTATTTGAGATCAAAAAGACCACAAAAAGCACAAATTCTGTGCTCCATCTGATAACAATAACTGGCAAAGTTTTATTTTTTGTGTGTAATTATTATCAATTCAAGTGAAGTGTACCGTCTTGCATTACGTCACACCTATTTTGACAGCTGCACTCAAGGTAAATAGCACATGCCTCCTAACTGCAAGCTTTATGATTGGTAGTTTTCTCCTGATCCCTGACAAGAAACAAGTGGACAGGTGCCATTTAATTACCAGTTTTCACATGTACATTTAACGCCTTTTCTTAGGTTGCTTGGATTCATCTGAAATGAACAAAAAAACTTGAAATTATGTAGTGGTAAATATAAAAGAATGAGATAATCTTTTTTTCCTTAACATTTAAGAGGTATGATTACACACGTATGTAAAACATTAACTCCCCCCAGGGATATGGGTTTTTTTGACTTGGGAGCCTCCTTAGTGCCACAGAAAACTGTACAGAGTTCACCTCCAGAATGAGCCAAGCTGAATTACCAAGATTCCGAGGTCTGGGATGGCCGCTGTCAAAATACTCTTTTATTGTGGGAAAAATGCGCAATATCTGCTCCAAGTCATCCGCCACCTTTCCATGAAAATGTTTCTCAAGTTTTGCCGTGTCAATGTTGACAATGCTGGATGTTGGCACGTAATGCCCATTTGCAGTTTTTAGTAAATATTTTCCTTTGTCCCTGTTAATTAAATATCCTCTAATTTACTAACTGAAAGAGTTTTTTACGGAGTCAATTCCTTTCTGTTTTGTCTCATGTTCTAACGTTTTCTCTCTCAAACTTTTCTCAAGCTGTTTGAGGGGCTCATTTGCGCTTTCAACGATTAATTTCTCTTCTGGATGTTTACTTACATCGTTGCATTGCTGACTTGTCACACATTTTTAGCTCACCTGAGCCAAAGGCTCAAGTGAGCTTTTCTGATCACATTTTGTCCGTCTGTCTGTCTGTAAACTTTTGACATTTTCGACTTCTTCTCCAGAACCGCTGGGCCAATTTTAACCAACTTTGCCAAAAAGTAACCTTGGGTAAAGGGGATTCAAGTTTGTTCAAATGCAAAAATACATTTTAGGAAAAATCTTTAAAAATTTTCTTCTCAAGAACAGCAAAGCCATGATTGGTCATATTTATCTGAAAGCATCCTCAGGTAGTGTAGACTTAAGTCTGTTCAAACCATGACCCCCAGAGGTATAGGGCGGGGCAACAAAGGATGATCAAAGATTTACATAGCAATACTTAGGAAAATTCTTTAAAAATCTTCTTTTCCAGAACAACTGGGCCAGAAAAAATGAACTTATTAATATATGGAAATATCCTCAGGTAGTGTAAATTCAAGTTTCTTCAAATCATGACCCCTGGGGTTAGGGCAGGGCCACAATGGACGATCAAAGATTTATATAGCAATACATAGGAAAAATCTGTAAAAATCTTCTTCTCCAGAAACACTGGGCCAGAAAAAATGAAACTTTTGTGGAAATATCCTCAGGTAGTGTTGATTCAAGTTTCTTCAAATCTTGTCATTTAGATAATTTTTTTTACGGAATTTGACCATCTTCATTTTAAAGGGGAAGCAGATTTTCACTTATTTTTTTCGCATTTTCCCCGGAAATGCTTGCAGATGTTTTTTTTTGTATTTGTGAGTCAACCTGGGTTTGTTGCTTTACATCATGTTAGCATTATGGTCCGCTTCAGATTTTTTTTTTTGGAAGTACATATTCCTTACACTGGGAAAAGTGGCTAGTACTCAGGTGAGCAATGGGCCTCTTGTTCAATAGTGCACTGTCTTGCATTGTGATCAAGTCACAGGTGGCAATTTCAGCATTTCTTATTATTATATATCTGATGTTTTGTGGGGCCGTGCAACATTTTCTTATGCATAATCCAAAGCACTCTTACCACTTCTGTCTCCAATTCTATTATGCCATTGTTAAGATCTTTTATGGTCTGTTCGATTGGTGATCAAAAAGTGTAAAAATCGAGGACTTCATCTCCGTCACTTTGATAGGTGCTTGTAGTAGGTTTCTGGAAAATATTTAATTCAACTCCTTTGGAGCTGTCATTTCTCTGGATCGAGGATTAGTTGGCAACTGGAAATGTCCCGGCAACGTTCTTTTGGATACTTTAATATTAACAACAGGGATTTTGTCTGAACCTGATGTGCACACGGTCCTGAGAACGTTGAGATATTTTGAGATATTAGCTTAAGAAAGTATGAGATTATCAGCATTGGGCTGATGTATTTAATCTGGAACTGTATGACAGCTTACAGTCCAATGTATCCAAGAGACTTCAGCTCAGTAAATTCTATCAAAATTGATGAGAGGTGATTTTCATTGTGGTACATACATGTATAGTGAATCTTCATATCAATCTCATCAGCTGCGTTTGGAACTGCTTGCGTTAGTGCCATTTTTAACAACTAAAGGTCAAATGACTTAATGTAAACATTTTGTGCAAATTTTGATTGACCAATCACACAACAAGATAGTTCCCGCTATATAAAAAATTCAATGTCATGTATAAAAATAAAAGTTGGCCTTCAACCTTTTGCACAATTTGCAGAGAACTACATCTATAGGTAAGGGAGATAGATTCCTTATTAATAGCAAAACCATGTTTAATTGAAGACTTATTCACGGGGGGAGGGGGGATCATGGGGGGTAAGTGCCCCCGCTTTTAGATTGGGGGTGGGGGGTGGAGAAGACTATCTTTAAGTTAAAATTTGTGTTTTTGGGCCTTGTCCACACACACACTTTGCTTGAGTGTCACATCATATGGTTTGAACATTAGGTATTTAAGGATAGGCATTTTTTAAATTTTTTTTATGTGATGATCAGTATACTGTGTAGTTTTTATAGAAGTTGAGGGGGACATAGACCAGAAACCTCCCCCCCCCCCCCTCTTCCCTAGATCCGCATATTTGTGTACCAGAGTACATTTTTATTTTTGTATCCTGCCACTTGAGAATTGCATATCTATAATTGAATAGACTCCCTACAAATGTAATAACCCAGTTAAAATAGTTTTGATATCAATATCATACTAATCTCCACTCTATATATACCCTGGTAATATATACTAACGAATGCAAATTGTTTTATTTGATTTTTTTAAGGCACGTTGTCAAATCAAAAAAGAAATAGCGCAGGGAGGGTCTATCAAAAGGGACTTCCTACAGGGATTGACTATCGAAGGAATGTCATTGATTACATGGAAAGGAACGGCGCGAGGCTTGGAGAATACTCTTTACCAAGAGGACTTCGGGCAAAAGCGGCACAGGAATTTAAATTAAGCCCACGTACAATTAAAAAAATTTGGACACATTATTGTAAAGAAGGGATTGTTAAAGTCCCAGTTAAATCCAATGGAAGAAGTAAAAGGAAATTAACGAAAGAAGATGTGGAGTACATTCATTTCTTGAAAAAAGTGAGACCATCAATACCTTTGTCAACGATTAGAGATGAACTGTTGAAAAAGTCGACTTCAATAGAGAATGTTGGTATCAGTACAATTTGTAGGACATTGCGAAATGACTTAAACATGACGTACAAACAGGTATCAAAAATAAACAAAAGCTGACTTACTCCACATAATTTGAATTACAGCAACATTTCATTAACCACATTAGCCAGAAAGATCCATACACACTTAAATTTATGAACGAAATGCGAGTTACACTTTCAGATGGGCAAAATAATTATGGACACTCTTAACAAAGGGTCTTCTGTGTCGAATTAACTCAATAATTATGGACATTCTACAAAGGGTCTTCCATGTGTCGAATTAACTCGATAACAATCATCATGCAAATGTTACTGTCAATGCCATAGTTGGAATAAGTGGAGTCAAATATGTGAAAGTATTTGATGGACCATCTAATGAAAACGAATATGTTCAATTTATAGCAGAGGCTGCACGAAGTTTTACTGGTGAGGGGGAAGTGTCTTTCACCCGTGGGGTGTTTTTGATAGCTGACAATGCAGCAATACACCACAACAGGGCAGAAAGGGAGCTTCGCAATTATTTGCCAACAGTGGGCGTCGAGAATATTTCTTTTTGCCTACATATTCCCCAGATTTGAACCCAGTGGAAGCAGTGTTTCTTAAAATATTAATAAAGAAAACTCTGAGAGCAGACAAATACATCACATTATTGAATGTAGATTTAAAAGTCGCTGTTAATTAGACTATTAAGGAGATAACGTTAGCTGATGCCTTGTCATTTTTCAAAAATGCAGAGTACATTATTAATTATTAAACCAAGATAAATTTTTTTCCATGCATGTATGTTTTTTATTCTTTTCATGACATCATATTATGTGATAAAGAATGACAAAACAGGCTCCAACTCAATTTGATTATGCCCCATTCGGAGAAGGGAGGGCATAAATATTGCTTCACTGCTGTCTGTTGGTCAGTCGGTCTGTCTGTCTGTTGGTCCACCAACAGTTTCCATTCATTTTCTTCACAAAGGTTGCATATACTGAAATGAAATTTGATATGCAAACTTATCATGAGAATATCTAGGTCAAGTTCTGTTTTGGGTACAATCAAGCAGGTTTTGACAGAGTTTTGCCCATTGGACTTTGAAAAATTCCAATTATTTGCAGTTTTCTTCGCAGAGGTTGCACATACTAAAATGAAATTTGGTATACCAATTTATCATAAAAAATATCTAGGTCAAGTTATGTTTTGGGTATGATCTGGCAATTTTTGACAGAGTTAAGCCCCTTGAACTTAGAAAAAATCCAATTATTTGGGGGGAATAATTGTTTCACAAACATCTTTTGTGAAAATTAGATTTGTTTATCTGCTTCTATACATAGCGTATCTTAGGGGAGCAGGCATACAAGTCTAATTTAAGTTAGATTAAGCTGCAACTAATGTCCTATCTTTAAACAGTCTGATTTTAGGACCCGATACTGCAGGGTATAATGATAACGGGGAATAAATTTTAAAAAAGCCTCATATTAAATTGGATTATCTTTTGTTAGCAGTATAATTATTATTATTTTGAATTTCAGAGAGACCATGCAGTGATTTTGTTTTCCGGTGCAGCGCTGAAAATGACACTGGGTTTTTGCTTTCAAAATGATAAATTCAAAAGATCAGTTACAGTAAATTGAACGTCCAAAGAAAAACACTTGCTTCATTCATTCTTTAAATAAATTATGTATGTAATTTAGGTTAAATAATAGAGAAATTGAGCTCTTCGTTTGCTACATATAAGAAAGATCCTAGAAATGAAAACAAATTGTTTGATGCATAATGAAGTTTAGATTCCGATCCATTTTAAAAATTATTTTAAAATAAACCAAAATTATGTACCCTAAGAGTTTCTATTTTTATATTTGCTCATAAGGTATACTTTGTGTCTTATTGTAAAATGTTAATAACCCATAATGCCACAGTGCATAATATTGCCATGTTGTTATCTTTCTAATAATATGATAATTTATCTCTTGATAAGCATAAAAAACTGTTCAATTATTAGAATGTGCTAAACATGTTGAGTTGTTCCTTGACTCTGCCTTAAAAAATGTGTTGACAAATCACACACACCTTATACTGGGGGCGTGAATTGTTTACGCTGGGCGCATCTGTCAAAATAGATCTTGAAGTAATACGTACAAAACATAAAACTTCACTGAAATTGGTAATATATTTCAGATTGGCATTTGGAAACCTATGGTGTCAGCATTGATATGGAATCCATTACAGCAGAGGAACTGGCGGTAAAGCTGGAGAAATTTTACTGTGAGGCCAAACCACAACCAGATCCAAAAAACAAATCGTACGAGGAATATAACAAAAACACAATGAAGGCCATGAGGGCCGCCATTAATCGACACTTCTCTGACATAGGAAGGGACTTTGATATTGTGAACGACAGACAGTTCAAACTGGCAAACAGGAGTTTGATTGGTTTATTAAAGCATCGCATGGCAGAAGGCACCATTCATTCCACCATCCGCAAGGAAATCATACCCAAGTCAGATCTACAGAAAATCTCTAAATACCTGGAGACTGCGTACTCCTCCCCCATTAATCTCCGTCTTTCTCTGTGGTACATACTGGCTGTTCAGTTTGTTAGGAGAGGTGTGGAGTTCCATCACCAACTGAACATCGATTCCTTTGACTTCAAGACAGATGAGGATGGGAGGGAATATGCATGTCTTTATCATGAAACAAAATTAAAAAATAACCCAGAGGTCCACGCACGTAATGAGAGGCTTATGTCAGATACACGTATGTACGCGACAAAGAGTGCAATATGTCCAGTGAAAATGTTGAAGTTTTTTCTTTCAAAAACAGATGGTGATGCCACTAAATTATTTAATAAGTATGAAAGAGATGCAGTTAACTGTCCCAAAGGAAATAAAATATGGTATAACTCAAAGCCACTGTACAAAGGTTCATTTAGAAAATTTCTGCCAGACATTTGTGAACAAGTGGGCTGTAAGCGCTACACTGCTTATTGCCTTAGAGCCACCACCATAGCAACAATGAATGAATCAGGTTTTGAAAATCGTCATTATATGTACTCCCATTCATGATTAAAGCCTCTTTATAAATTGTCTTGAATAATGGACATGCTAGAACCTTGACATAAATAATTACTTAGAGGTTTGTTATCAGTGCTGACATGTAAGGGCCTTCCAATTTTAAGGGTTTTTTTTTTCTCTTTTTAGTGTTTACCCATCTTTCTTCTGCAAGAAAAAAAACATAGCCAAAGAATTAACACAGACTTTATAAGGCCATCTTTAAAAGATTGTTTGCTTGCCCACTATCGACCGACTGGCTCAAAATGACCCAACTCCAATCTTTTTTAAACCTTCCAGGAAACATTTTTAACTCACCTGAAGTGAAAGCTCAAGTGAGCTTTTCTGATCACCTTTTGTCCCTTGTCCATCCATCTGTCTGTCCAGTAGTCCGTCTGTCCTTCCATCTGTAAACTTTTCACATTTTCAACTTCTTCTCAAGAACCACTGGGCCAATATTAACCAAAGTTGGTACAAAGCATCTTTGAGTAAAGGGGAGTTTAAATTTAAAAAATGAAGGGTAAAGCCCCCTTACAAGGGGAGATAATCAAGAAAATACAAAAATAGGGTGGGGTCATTAAAAAATCTTCTTCTCAATAACCACTGGGTCAGAAAACCTGAAACTTATGTGGAAGCATCCTTGGGTAGTGTGGATTCTAAATTATTCAAATTGTGATCCCCGGGAGTAGGGTGGGGCTACAATAGGGAATCCAAATTTTGCATTTAAGTATTTAGGAAAAATCTTTTGATGAAGAACCATTGGGCCAGAAAGGCTGAAACTTATGACAATATGTGGAAGCCTCCTGGGGTAGTAGAGATTCTAAATTGTTCAAATCATGACCCTTGGCGGTAGATTGGGGCCACAAATTTTACATTGAAATATATAGGAAAAATCTTCTGATGAAGAACCAAAGGGCCAGAAAAGCTGAATCTTATGTGGAAGCCTTCTGATCTGGAATAGGACAGGGCAACAATAAGTACATGTGTTACAATAGGGAAGAGAAGGCTAAAGTTACTCAGGTGAGCATTGTGTCCCATGGGCCTCTTTCTCTTTTCCCTTAAAATTTGTAACAGTTATCCCGTCAACAAATATGTTGAATTTTTCTGGATAAAAAAAATTAACCTACCTATGGACCCTATTTTTCTTACATCGAGTGGGGAGAGGGAAAACAAAAACTATTTTAAAGATGGCCTATTGATAAAAATGACGTCCTTCAAAGGATTTGATATGTAGAAAAAAAAACTTGGAATGGCCTTAGGCTATTAGACAGATTTTACATGTCCTTTTAGTGGTATGTAATTATCATATCATACATTTTTAAGATGTATAGGCAGCAAATGCACTTCTGCAATGTGAGTTCTATTAAGTCGTCCTCTTATCACAACACTTCGTATCCAACGATTGAGCTCACTTTGTTTGTTACATACTTACAAATTGGATTTTCGAAGAGCTGTAGCTTTGTTTAAAAATTTACCCAAATTAGGTAGCTCTTTCACCTTTTGAATACACATTAAATTTATAAGTTTAAATACACTTGGTTTAACATAATAATATTTCTTAATATACACACTTCTCAGACTTTCATAAAATGGACATTTTAATATAAAATGAAATTCACTGACAATTGATTCAGCTTAATAGACCACCTTTTTCCCGGTCGTTATGGGGCTTCATAAAGGCCGAAGTTAAACCTGTAATAGGCAGGAACACCAGTTAATGAGCAAAGATTGTCATAGTTACAGTATCTTGTTAAAGTCAGTTTGTTGCATTAAACATATGATTCTGTGTTTCCTTTTGTTTTTATCTACTAGTATCAATAATCGGAAAATATGGCCAAGTTTATTTTAAAGTGTTTCAAAAAGTAGGTCTTACTTCCAGATATGAGGTCAAAATAATGGTACAAAAGGGAAAGGTTAGAAGAAAAAATAAAAGTCGAAAGTAGCAAAACAAAAAACCAAAAAACAGCAAACAAAAGGCAAACAAACAAACAAACAAACAAGTCATTCATTTAGATGTATTGGTGAGTACAACCTTTGTAGCCAAAAATAAATTGCCAACAAACAGTTTTAGATGTAAAATTACTGAAGGAAAACAACTGTAAATTTACTTTATTACCGGTATATTATGTAATTGTATTACTTTAGAAATACTTAAGAGCAAACTAGAAGCCCATTTAGGACCTATTATAATTTTTGTTTTTTTTTAATTTGAAATAATGAATTGTTGAATTTGTTATAATGAATTGAGTAAGTTATATCAGTTTCCTTGAATTCGTTAGGATGAATTTTGTCTGATATCAAATTTGCACAATTTGTTATAATGAAGTCAAAAATTTGTAATAACAAATTAAACTCGTTTTAATGAATTTAATTCTAATTAATTTTATATCGAATTCAAAATTATTTTTTGATGATTTTTTGACCGAAATGTGCTTCTGTAGTACGCAACCCATGTAACAGACTAAAGTCTTGTGTGGTGATGATGAAAAACAACAAGGCTGTTGGTTCGTGTTCAAACAAGACGGATCTCTTTATTACGATGAATCAATAGTGATGAAAAAGTAAAGAAACCAGTGTAATGAAATAACAAATTATAAATATTCAGCATAAAAACTATAGCATTATTGATCAATATACAATCAATTTAGCTTTATCAGATTCAAAGGGAGATAATCCAATTATATGAAAAATACACAATCAAATCTCCCACTTCTTAAATCAATATATATTTATCATAAAAACTTTACAATAATTATCTTGACAATGTATATGTACATTATTAATTATTGTTGCTCATAAAAACAATATTATTTATACCATTCAATGGGAATGGGCCATACTACAGCACATATATAAGCTGCATAAACTAGACAGACAGATCAATATCTACAAATCAACAATGATAAACTTTGTAGATATCTACACTAAGCATAAAATAAAGTTTACTTTAAAAAATGTAGGAAAAAGTAAGACATCCAAGAATTTACTATTTACACATAACTTTATATCTACAGTCTCACTCCAGGAAAAGTGACTTAAGGAATTAAGTGCAAAATTACAGATTTCACATTTAATAAAATTAGAATAATATATTAACATTAGTATGAAAGAATTACTTACCATGCAAGTGGAAATATGTCTAAATGTCAAAAGTCTTATGATATCATATGAAAAACTGTAAAAACTCAGTCACCAAAACATGACTATAGCTTTCCACTGCTAAATCGGAATTAATGAAAAACACAAAGAAAACTTGGAGGGAAAAACAAAACCCAATCCAAAAGCATAAGACAAACTAAAAAAAACAATGAAATTAAAAGATACAAAATGACTATGGCCAGAATATAATTACAGCCCTGAAGCTGACTGGACCTCTCTGGAAAAGAACAATTTAAAAGTCAATACACTTAACTACAGATTAAATGAATAATTTTTATTTATTTATTTATTTATTCAATTTGACAAAAACCACAATTGGCGCAAGTCATACATACAGTAAACAAATATATAGTTACACAGATTTTCTTATATTAAATGCATCACGTATGAAGTTACAAATATTTCTTGTTGATTTAACATCTGCTGGATTAAGAATTTCATAAGATATAGGCCTACATGTATTGTTAAAAAGTGTACAAAATTCACTTCTTAGTTGTTCATAAAGTGGACATACAAATAAAAAATAATCATTTGATTCAGCTGTAGAAGTGTGCTGCAAATAAAAATATTATATACATAAGTAATCTAATGAATAAATGCACATGCAATATGCATTGCTATGCACATGTGCATAATATATAAAAACATGAGTTTGTCACACCCAATCACACTTTTGAATAAAGCCGCCCTATCTAGATCAGTGTCACGTGATAAGGCGAGCTACTTTTAGAACATAAACAAATAATGGCGTCGATTCTGACGAGAAAGCGAGGGAGGCCATTTGGAAGTAGATTTACGCCCGAAGAAAGGAAAGCAAGAAAAAAAGAATATCAAAGACTTTTCGGCAAGGAAAGCGTCCACATCGGAGATCATATAACACGATGGAACCGGCTTAAGGTGGCACTCTGTCTTATGTATAACCATGAAGTGGCAGGGTATCTGCTTGACAGGTCTGTGCACCTTAACTAGATCTAGTTACCTATAAAACGACTCTACTGTAAATAATAAAGAAGTAAAAGGACATATATATCAACCAACTCAAGGGTCTTTTTGTCTATGTTTGTGCAATTTCTGTAATTGATAAAAACTTTCAATTTACTGATTTTTTTTCCTTCATCGATCCATTAACTCTCGACTGGTTGTAACCGGTTTAGCCAGGGACCTATATACTAAAGGGATATATAGGTCTCTGGTTTTGTGTTCTGCAATGGCTGGAACTGTTCATTCCTGCATTAAATAAACAAAAAATGTAAATAAACAAAAAAATGTAAATAAACAAAAAAATTAAACGAACAAGTATTTAATAAGTCATTTACATAAATCAAACTGCTGTGAATATTTGGGTGACATGTAGGTTAGTTAGACTTTTTTAAAGTAAATCTGTCAGTTAAAGAGATAAGGTCTAGTGCCTCATCAAGTATCTCAAACATGTACAGATAAATACTTCATCAAAGGCCCCACAATGCTTTCTTTCCCTGGATCTGTATCATTTATATATTATCATGATTATTTTTAGGCTATATCTACTGATAATTTCTGGTAAGGATATCTTAATTAAATAATAAAAGACAACGTTGAGCAGCAAGTTTTTGACCTTGAACTCTGACCCTGAGTTCACTAGTATCTATTGACTATATTGTCCCTGACCCGTCAGCATCAAATAATTCATGACAAATTAACGCCTCCCTCCCTTAACGCCTTCATCTCCTTAGTTAACTCCAGGCGTGGACCATTCTTCTTTTTGGCTTTCTTTTCCGCCTGATAAGTAATGAAATGTCAAGAATATATATTTTGTTTTGTAATTAGGAAGAGGAGAAATGATATTATGGCTGTGAAAAAAAATGCAATCCATAGTAATGAACCTTTTTTTTTAATTTAATCATTCTGTTGGCGTATAAACTATTTGACTGTTTTTTCTTTTGAAATTTGTTTTCTACATTAAAAAAAAGTCTTACACATTATTGCCTTTAATTAATTTTCAATCTAATTAAAGTTGAAAATGATAACATGTCATGTAATTTCAATTTCTACTTGCTAAAATGTAAGAAAACTAGAATTTTTTTTATGAAAAAATTTTTTTTTTAATTCAACAATATCTTAAAACCTAGCAGTATGTATAGTTGTTTGGACAGTGAATATTATCGGCCTGAGTTAACATCTGTTGAAGAGGTCCCAGGTTTGATTCCCTGTCCAGCGATACATTTCTCCTTTCCTGTTATATATAATTTGGTGCTGTTGACCACCCCTGGACTTGCAGATGAATCTCTCGCCAGGGGAACTTGGGTTGTGTCTTTGAGGGCAAAAACAATATCAGGAGGGAGGAAAATAATGGTTTGGTGATGGACATCGGCCGGGATGGCTCAGTTGGTACAGCACCTGACTAATGATGCAGGGGTCCTGGGTTCAATTCCTTACATCCTGCCAGCCTTACATTTTATCTTAATTTTCCTGTTACACAGTGATGTAGCATCGTTTTTGAAAGTGGGGGGGGGGGGGCAATTTCTTTTAGTACCAATTTTTTTACTTAAACACTGCATTCCCCTTATATTACCCTTATTTGACAATACTGCAACCAAGAGAGGGGGGGGCAACCAGACTTTCAATGAACATTTCCTATAGAAAAACTTATGTCTGGAAAAAAGTGGGGGGCCAGCCCCCCACCCCACCCCCCACCGATACTGTGCCTGTTACATTTGCATTATGGATACTAAACCAAAGAAACTGAAAATTTATTTGCATGTACCAGTAATTTAATGTCTAACTGGTGAGACAGTGATCTGACAATATTTCCAGTGAAGACATTTTGACCCTGTGTAATGTTAGACTTAGACCTAAATCAATGCAGTATGTAGTGGACTTTTTTTTCTCTCGTTTTTAAATACTGAATTAATATTTCAATGTTTAAATATCAACACTAATCGAAATTTCTTCTATAAAGGCAGATTAAATTACATTTGGAGTGAAGTCATTTGCTGGCTTGCTGATCTAAATAATTATTTTTCAGATACGAGAATGACAAATATACACAGAAACTGGTTAAGAAAAACAGAATTTGTCATCGAGATAAAACAGCATCAGCGCACAACACCTCATCTACACTGGCAGACTCTCAACTGTAAGTCTGATTAAGATGTAGAAATGAGGATAAGGGGTCTCTGAAATAGGAGGAGTTGCTAATTCTTTGAAAAAGAGTTTTTACAACCTCCTCCTACGAGGGTATAAAGTTTTTGCCTTTTCCGTCTGTCTGTTTGTCCACAAAAAATTTAACCTTGCCCATAACTTTTGATTGGTTGGAGCTGTGGCTTTCATATTTCTTGTGTATTCCTTGTGACAAGACCTTACTTTGGGTAGCAACATATTTGACCTCTTGACCTTGGAGTTTGACCCACTTTTACAAAAATTTACCCAACTTTAACCTTGGCCATAACTTTTGAACAGTTGGTGCCAGGGCTTTCATATTTCCATGTGTATTCATCATGACAAGACCTTTCCATCCATATAATTATTTTTGACTTTTGATTTTGACCTTTAGTTAGAGTTTGACCCACTTTTAAAAATCTTTAACCTTGGCCATAACTTTTGAACCGTTAGTACTAGTAGGGCTTTCAAATTTCACAGGATTTATTCCTTGTGACAAGACCTTCTTTTGAATACCAACAATTTTGACATTTTGACCTTGACCTTGGAGTTTGACCCACTTTAAATAAAACTTTAACCTTGGTTATTAGTTTCAAACAGTTAGTATTGGACTTTTGCGAGGAGCATGGACTATTATAGTGGACAGCTAACTTTAACAGTTGGACAATATAGGGAAGCTCTTTTGCAGTATAAATATTTAGATTAAAGTTAATTAAAAGAGGATGATTGAGTCATTTCAAAGCACATAATGCATTGTGTAGGAAGGTAACAGGAACCACCCTGCCTTCAAACCCTTCCCTTCCCTCCTTGACCAACTCCTGCCTAGTTTTGTTTCTGGAATGATTTTTAGCTCACCTGAGCTGAAAGCTCAAGTGAGCTTTTCTGATCACCCGTTGTCCTTCGTCGGTCTGTCTGTCTGTCCATCCGTTTGTAAACTTTTCACATTTTCAACTTCTTCTCGAGAACCACTGGGCCAATTTTAACCAAACCTAGTACAAAGCATCCTTGGGTGAAGGGGAGGTTAAACTGTTAAAATGAAGGGCCAAGTCCCCTTCAAAGGGGAGATAATCAAGAAAATACAAAAATTGGGTGGGGTCATTAAAAAATCTTCTCAAGAACCACTGGGCCAGAAAAGCTGAAACATGTGGAAGCATCCTGGGGTAGTGTAGATTTTAAATTGTTCAAATCATGACCCCCGGGGGTTGGGACGGGGCCACAATAGGGAATCCAAGTTTAACATTGAAATATGTAGTAAAAATCTTTAATAATCTTCTTCTCAAGAAACACTGGGCCAGGAAGGCTGAAACTTACTTGGAAGCATCCTGGGGTAGTGTAGATTCTTAATTCTTCAAATCATGACCCCCGGGGTTAGGGCAGGACCACAATAGGGAATCCAAGTTTTACTTTGAAATATGTAGTAAAAATCTTTAGAAATCTTCTTCTCAAGAAACACTGGGCCAGGAAGGCTGAAACTTATGTAGAAGCATCCTTGGGTAGTTTAGATTCTTAATTCTTCAAATCATGACCCCCGGGGGTAGAGCGGGGCCACAATAGGGAATCCAAGTTTAACATTGAAATATGTAGTAAAAATCTTTAAAAATCTTTTTCTCAAGAATCACTGGGCCAGAAAGGCTGACACTTATGTGGAAGTATACTTAGGAAGTGTAGATTGTAAATTGTTCAAATCATGACCCCCGGGGGTAGGGCGGGGCCACAATAGGGAATCCATCCAAGTTTTACATTGAAATATGTAGTAAAAATCTTAAAAAGTCTTCTTCTCAAGAACCACTGAGCCAGAAAGGCTGAAACTTACCTGGAAGCAGCCTTGGGTAGTGTAAATTCTTAATTCTTCAAAACATGACCCCCAGGGTTAGGGCAGGACCACAACAGAGAATCCAAGTTTTACATTGAAATATGTAGTAAAAATCTTTAAAAATCTTCCTCTCAAGAACCACTGGGCTAGAAAAGCTGAAACTTATGTGGAAGCGTCCTTGAGTAGTGTAGATTTTAAATTGTTCAAAACAAGACCCCCTGGGGTAGGGCGGGGCCACAATAGAGAATCCAAGTTTAACATTGAAATATGTAGTAAAAATCTTTAAAAATCTTCTTCTAAGAACCACTGAGCCAGAAAGGCTGAAACTTATGTGGAAGCATCCTTAAGTAGTGTAGATTCTAAATTGTTCAAATCATGACCCCAGGGGTACGGGGGGAGCACAACAGGGAATCCAAGTTTTACATTGAGATATATAGTAAAAATCTTCTTCTCAAGAACCACTGAGCCAGAAAGGCTGAAACTTACGTTGAAGCATCCTGGGGTAGTGTAGATTCTTAATTCTTCAAATCATGCCCCCCGGGGGTAGGGCGGGGCCACAATAGGGAATCCATGTTTTACTTTGAAATATGTAGTAAAAATCTTTAAAAATCTTCTTCTGAAGAAACACTAAGCTAGAAAAGCTGAAATTTATGTGGAAGCATCCTTGAGTAGTGTAGATTTTAAATTGTTCAAAACATGACCCCCTGGGGGGGGGGGGGGGGGGGCAACAATAGGGAATCCAAGTTTTACATTGAAATATGTAGTAAAAATCTTCTCAAGAATCACTGGGCCAGAAAGGCTGAAACTTATGTGAAAGCATCCTGGGGTAATGTAGATTCTAAATTGTTCAAATCATGATCCCCGGGGATAGGGCGGGGCCACAATAAGTACTACAAGGGGGGGGGGGGGGTGAGAGAAATCAGGTGAAAAACAGCAAGGCCAAAGTTACTCAGGTGAGTGTTGTGGCCCATGGGCCTCTTGTTTTTTTTTATTTGATTCCTTTCAAAAATGAGATAGAAAGGAGATACTACACCTCACAAATATTTTAAATTATGTTATTCTGTCTCCCATCATCTTTTGTGTTGATTGTATACCGGTAAATCAAGTCAGCAACCCTAACCCTATAACCACTTCTTAAAGTTTTCTTATCCATTATCATTTCCGTACCTCCGTACACAATGCCTTTAAATGACAAAGTAAGCCGTCGATTGTAAATGTAAGTGCTTCTCAGAAAAGCACACTAAGGCTTTCAAATCTCACAGGTGTATTCCTTGTGACAAAACCTTCCTTTAGAAACCAACAATTTTGACCTTTGAACCTTCACCTTGGAGTTTGACCTACTTTTGAAAAACTTAAACCTTGGCCATAACTTGGCTATAGCATTTGGTGCTAGAGGCTTGTATATTTTGCATGTGTATTTTTGTGGCGTCGAGCTCTTGGAGCTCGAACATCATCTAGCAATAGCCCAGTTGAAATCGCAATCGGGTGTGCGCAACAGAATGTGTCAGTCGATGCATCCGCAATAGAAAATAGCAATAGCTATGAACCAATTTCTTTGAAAACTCTCACAATGAAAAATAGCTTGAAAATAAAATTGCATCAATTATATCTACAATTAATTCTATTGCAAAACAACAATATTATGTTTCACACAAGAAAAACATGATGGTTGTTGCGATGAATTTCTACAGAAATGGTGCGTCGAATGACATGAATAACATTTGGGAACGATAACCCTGTAACACAAACAACACAACAGGCTGTAAAATAATTACAAAATTACATAAACACGAATACTACAAGACCAAAAAGATTGAATTCTAAATCTTAGCTTTACTTATACAATCTTCTAACCAACTTCATCCTAAAAACCAATGATATTGACCAGTATAACTGTATTTCTCCATTTCCCCATATACCATACACCACGTCCTATTGCAACTCAATCATACTTGTAACAGAGCAGAGTCATGGTTGTAGTTTAGATGCAATCACTACTGTAATACAACGCTTTGACATTGGCAATTAGAAAGAATATTATATAAATTCATGAAATGATAATCATTCATAGTTCTTTAATTGACTGAAAAGAATTTAGCTTGAACATGTTGGACGGTGTTTGGTCAATTTGAACCCTGCTCCATTCGGACCATGACATAAGGCCCAAGACTGTAATTATGATATTTTGTTTAAAACTTTTTTTTTTTGGATTTTGTCTCCTGAGTCACTTACTGCTATCTTCAAATTCAAAAAGATCTTTTGAAATTGTTTTTCTCGTTCAATGCCATTGAAGCCTCTCAGGCTTTTGATTTATGACAAGGTTTTAACCTGCGTATATTAATTTAGACTGTCTGAGAGATGAGCTTAGTCTCCTTGCAACTTTTAATTTACAGAAACTGATACAAAATCATATTACTTTTCAAATAAATGAATTATATATTTTAAACTCTGTTATCTCTATTTCTAAAGTATAGATCTCAGAATTTAATTTCAGTCTTGTTGAGTTTGAGATGAGGTCTGAAGGTATTTACATGTGTACATTAAACAGACTTACAAACTATGTATATGTCTTTTATAGAAGTCAAAATGAACAGACAGCTGTCCATGAGGGGTCAGAAAAACAACATGGCAAGTTCTCAAAATCTAAGGGTAAGTCCACTTCAAGTTGTAAGTAGAAATGTTCATCAAGTTTTGAGTGTAAGTCTTAATCATATTCTAAGTGCAAGTCTTGATAAAGTTCTGAGTACGAGCTCAGATCAAGTTGTAAATGTAAGTTTCCATCAAGTTCTAAGTGTAAGTCCCCATCAAGTTATAAGTATAAGTCTCCAAGTTCTAAGTGTATGTCTCCATCAAGTTGTAAGTGTAAGTCCCCATCAAGTTCTAAGTGTAAGTCCCCATCAAGTTCTAAGTGTTAGTCTCCATCAAGTTCTAAGTGTAAGTCCCCATCAAGTTGTAAGTGCAAGTCTCCATCAAGTTCTAAGTGTAGGTCTCCATCAAGTTTAAAATGTTAGCCTCCATCATGTCCTAAGTGTAAGTCTCCATAAAGTTATAAGTGTAATTCCCCATTAAGTTCTAAGTGTAAGTCCCCATCAAGTTCTAAGTGCAAGTCCCCATCAAGTTGTAAGTGTAAGTCTCCATCAAGTTCTAAGTGTAGGTCTCCATCAAGTTCTATGTGTAAATCTCGATCAAGTTCTGAGTATAAGCCCGAATCAAGTTCTAATTGTTAGTCCCCATCAAGTTTAAAGTGTTAGCCTCCATCAAGTCCTAAGTGTAAGTCTCCATCAAGTTCTAAGTGTAGGTCTCCATCAAGTTCTATGTGTAAATCTCGATCAAGTTCTGAGTATAAGCCCAAATCAAGTTCTAATTGTTAGTCCCCATCAAGTTTAAAGTGTAAGTCCCCATCAAGTCCTATGTGTAAAACTCCATCAATTTTTTGTGTAAGTCTCCATCAAGTTCTAAGTTTGTCTCCATCAAGTTCTAAATGTAAGTGTCCATCAAGTTCTAAGTGTAAGTCTCCATCAAGTTTAAAGTGTAAGTCCCCATCAAGTTTAATGTGTAAATCTCCATCAATTTTTTGTGTAAGTCTCCATCAAGTTCTAAGTTTGTCTCCATCAAGTTCTAAATGTAAGTGTCCATCAAGTTCTAAGTGTAAGTCTCCATAAAGTTTAAAGTGTAAGTCCCCATCAAGTTTAATGTGTAAATCTCCATCAATTTTTTGTGTAAGTCTCCATCAAGTTCTAAGTTTGTCCCCATCAAGTTCTAAATGTGAGTGTCCATCAAGTTCTAAGTGTAAGTCTCCATCAAGTTTAAAGTGTAAGTCCATATCAAGTTTAATGTGTAAATCTCCATCAATTTTTTGTGTAAGTCTCCATCAAGTTCTAAGTTTGTCCCCATCAAGTTCTAAATGTTAGTGTCCATCAAGCTGTAAGTGTAAGTCCCCATCAAGTTGTAAGTGTAAGTCCCCATCAAGTTGTAAGTGTAAGTCCCCATCAAGTTGTAAGTGTAAGTCCCCATCAAGTTGTAAGTGTATGTCTCCATCAAGTTCTAAATGTAAGTCTCCATCAAGTTGTAAGTGTAAGTCCCCATCAAGTTGTAAGTGTATGTCTCCATCAAGTTCTAAATGTAAGTCTTCATCAAGTTGTAAGTGTAAGTCCCCATCAAGTTGTAAGTGTAAGTCCCCATCAAGTTGTAAGTGTAAGTCCCCATCAAGTTCTAAATGTAAGTCCCAATCAAGTTCTAAATGTAAGTCCCCATCAAGTTGTAAGTGTAAGTCCCCATCAAGTTGTAAGTGTAAGTCCCCATCAAGTTGTAAGCGTAACATGTATAAGTCTCCATAAAGTTTTAAGTATAAGTTCCCAACAATCTTAGTCAGTTTTGTGAACCAGAGGCTTTCTGTTCGCATAGCTTCAAACAATCTCTTAACAGATAAGGACATTAAACCTTTGATTTGCAAAAATTGTTTATAGTAGACCTGTGTCAGCTTTAAAAAATTTTACTGTGTGTGTAAGCAGAAGCTAAATGTTTTCAGAACTTGATGATTTGCTCTGTCAAAAATAGCCTTTGAAGGTGAATATTGAATAAAAGAAAAAGGTTCATTTTTAGGGGTGAAACGATATGCCTTCTTCACGGTTCGATACGTATCGTAAAATTTGGTCTCGGTTTGGTTATTTTCGATACGATACATTTTGATAGAAGGAAACAAATTCAACTGTTGTTTTACATGTTTTATGCTTCCTTTTACTTGATCTAGTCAAATAATTTATGTGCAAAATGGATAGAAGAAATCAATTTAATTGATTTGACTGTTAAAAATTATTTTACAAACTGTAAGTCCACAAAAATTTATGTTTTTTAACTAATTATACTGAGAAGCATGTTTATACCTTATGCCAAACCTGACTGAATGACGATCCCAACCGAAAAACGAACCGAACCGAAAATAGAGATTTTGTACCGTGTATCGAACCGAGAAAAAATACCGCGGTGAATACTTGAGAAATTTTCAGCCTGGTTCATTTTTACTTGAGAAATCTTCAGAAAAACAGGTTAATTTGGATTTTAAAAAAACAAACCAGAAATCAAATTAAAGATGCTTTAAAATGAAAGTTAACATTTTCAGGTGATTATCTCAAAACCCCCCTCCCCAAATCCGACTTTGAATCGCCTAGTTTTGAAGTCCTCTAGGGATATTGTATTTTGTGATTGACAGATATGTGTATTTCCTGTTTTCTATTTCAACAGTTGATGATCCATCATTGGACCCTGAAGAAATAAGCAATGGCATCTCGCTTCAGTTAGAAGGTATAGAATAAACATGATTCCTCTAAATATTTCTTTACCTGAACAGTGATTTTACTCTGTATAACATTTCCAACAGTGAAAATTATTAATGGAATAAAAGTGATATTTTATCACTTGGGGTACCCAATAGTGACATTTCTTTGAACACTTTATTGATGCTGTAATATACAGTCAAACTTTGTTATCTCAAACTCGATGGATCCAAAAAAAAACTTTGAGATTTTCAATGATTCGAGATATCGAGGGTAAAAGTAGCTGGGACTTCCAAATCACTTCGATATATCCATGGTATTTGAGATACCAGTGTTCGAGATACCAAAGTTCAACTCTATGTCTCATCTCTTTCTCTCACTGTAAATTTGTTTTTGACAGTTGATGATGGAGCAGAGTCTATTGATGCTGTAATATATGTCTCATCTCTTTCTCTCACTGTAAATTTGTTTTTGACAGTTGATGTTGGAGCAGAGTCTATTGATGCTGTAATATATGTCTCATCTCTTTCTCTCACTGTAAATTTGTTTTTGACAGTTGATGATGGAGCAGAGTCTGTTGATGCTGTAATATATATCTTATCTCTTTCTATCAATGTCTATTGATGCTGTAATATATATCTTATCTCTTTCTCTCACTTTAAATTTGTTTTTGACAGTTGATGATGGAGCAGAGTCTATTGATGCTGTAATATATGTCTCATCTCTTTCTCTCACTGTAAATTTGTTTTTGACAGTTGATGATGGAGCAGAGTCTGTTGATGCTGTTATATATGTCTCAACCCTCTCTCTCACTGTAAATTTGTTTTTGACATTTGATTATGGGGCAGAGGCTATTGATGCTGTAATATATGTCTCATCTCATTCTCTCACTATAAATTGTTTTTGACATTTGATTATGGAGCAGAGTCTATTGATGCTGTAATATATGTCTCATCTCTTTCTCTCAATGTAAATTTGTTTTTGACAGTTAATGATGGGGCAGAGTCTATTGATGCTGTAATATATATCTTATCTCTTTCTCTCACTGTAAATTTGTTTTTGACAGTTGATGATGGAGCAGAGTCTATTGATGCTGTAATATATGTCTCAACCCTTTCTCTCACTGTAAATTTGTTTTTGACAGTTGATGATGGAGCAGAGTCTGTTGATGCTGTAATATATATCTTATCTCTTTCTCTCAATGTCTATTGATGCTCTAAAATATATCTTATCTCTTTCTCTCACTTTAAATTTGTTTTTGACTGTTGATGTTGGAGCAGAGTCTATTGATGCTGTGATATATATCTCATCTCTTTCTCTCACTGTAAATTTGTTTTTGACAGTTGATGATGGAGCAGAGTCTGTTGATGCTGTAATATATATCTTATCTCTTTCTCTCAATGTCTATTGATGCTGTAATATATATTTTATCTCTTTCTCTCACTTTAAATTTGTTTTTGACAGTTGATGTTGGAGCAGAGTCTATTGATGCTGTAATATATGTCTCATCTCTTTCTCTCACTGTAAATTTGTTTTTGACAGTTGATGATGGAGCAGAGTCTATTGATGCTGTAATATATGTCTCAACTTCTCTCACTGTAAATTTGTTTTTGAAAGTTGATGATGGGGCAGAGTCTATTGATGCTGTAATATATGTCACATCTCTTTCTCTCACTGTAAATTTGTTTTTGACAGTTGATGATGGGGTAGAGTCTATTGATGATGATGAGTCTGTTGATGAAGATTCCAGCAGTGAAGATGAAGAGGTTAACATTTAATACATTCTCTGTCTTATTTTAAAGTGACATAGAGAACAATTTAAAGTGTAAATTCTTCAAATTTTTTGGGAGTATTTCATGTTTTAAGTATTGCAGTGTGTTTTAATCACATCAGTAAAACCATCACGATTGCTCAGAGCACTTACTCCTTGATCAGAAGGTTGTGGGTTCGAGCCCTGGCCACGACTGACCTTAGTTGATAAAAAATAGGTAGCAACTGTTCCTTTGCCAAGCAATCGGCTTTTTGAAGTGAAAGTTGGGATGAGACCTTAAAAACTGATGTCCCGTATCATGGTTGGCAAACCCTCACTGCTCAATTGCCCTGAGTGTCAAGAAAGATCTAAATTTGAAGAAATTCACCTGTATTTGGTGACGTCTCTATATGAGTGAAAAATCTTTGAACAGGATGTAAATACATACAATCAATTAATCACATCATAAAAACTTTTTCAGATGCTGTAATATATGTCTCATCTCTTTCTCTCAATGTAAATTTGTTTTTGACAGTTAATGATGGGGCAGAGTCTATTGATGCTGTAATATATATCTTATCTCTTTCTCTCACTGTAAATTTGTTTTTGACAGTTGATGATGGAGCAGAGTCTATTGATGCTGTAATATATGTCTCAACCCTTTCTCTCACTGTAAATTTGTTTTTGACAGTTGATGATGGAGCAGAGTCTGTTGATGCTGTAATATATATCTTATCTCTTTCTCTCAATGTCTATTGATGCTCTAAAATATATCTTATCTCTTTCTCTCACTTTAAATTTGTTTTTGACTGTTGATGTTGGAGCAGAGTCTATTGATGCTGTGATATATATCTCATCTCTTTCTCTCACTGTAAATTTGTTTTTGACAGTTGATGATGGAGCAGAGTCTGTTGATGCTGTAATATATATCTTATCTCTTTCTCTCAATGTCTATTGATGCTGTAATATATATTTTATCTCTTTCTCTCACTTTAAATTTGTTTTTGACAGTTGATGTTGGAGCAGAGTCTATTGATGCTGTAATATATGTCTCATCTCTTTCTCTCACTGTAAATTTGTTTTTGACAGTTGATGATGGAGCAGAGTCTATTGATGCTGTAATATATGTCTCAACTTCTCTCACTGTAAATTTGTTTTTGAAAGTTGATGATGGGGCAGAGTCTATTGATGCTGTAATATATGTCACATCTCTTTCTCTCACTGTAAATTTGTTTTTGACAGTTGATGATGGGGTAGAGTCTATTGATGATGATGAGTCTGTTGATGAAGATTCCAGCAGTGAAGATGAAGAGGTTAACATTTAATACATTCTCTGTCTTATTTTAAAGTGACATAGAGAACAATTTAAAGTGTAAATTCTTCAAATTTTTTGGGAGTATTTCATGTTTTAAGTATTGCAGTGTGTTTTAATCACATCAGTAAAACCATCACGATTGCTCAGAGCACTTACTCCTTGATCAGAAGGTTGTGGGTTCGAGCCCTGGCCACGACTGACCTTAGTTGATAAAAAATAGGTAGCAACTGTTCCTTTGCCAAGCAATCGGCTTTTTGAAGTGAAAGTTGGGATGAGACCTTAAAAACTGATGTCCCGTATCATGGTTGGCAAACCCTCACTGCTCAATTGCCCTGAGTGTCAAGAAAGATCTAAATTTGAAGAAATTCACCTGTATTTGGTGACGTCTCTATATGAGTGAAAAATCTTTGAACAGGATGTAAATACATACAATCAATTAATCACATCATAAAAACTTTTTCAGAAAAGTTTTGAAATATATGGTAGCCCGACACCCGGGCTAGTCATTTTAAGACTCGGGCTGGCTAATTCAGATGTAACGATAGTGTGTCGGACTAGCAGAACAGAAAAAAATTCTTGATCGTCAGTTTACCATAGCTTTTCTATGTAGATTGGTTTCTTTTGACTGAGAACTAATTTAGTTTGTTCCTGTCACCAAAGCATTTGACACTTTAATTTGTTATGTTTTCATTTTGTATGAAAATTGTTGGGCTAGTTAGTTTGAGGTTTGGGCTAGTAAATTTTTACTGATCAGTAGCCCCTGGGCTAGGGGTTTTCCAGAAAAATTTCAACCCCTAATTTAACCTAATAATTAAGTACACACTATTTTTCCTTATCCAGGAAATGGGAATAAAACAGGAACAGGACTCTGAGGATTACACCACACAAAACTCTGGATCCACCCCTCAGTCAGAGAGCAGTACAATTCAAACTAAAACCAGTAAATCTGTTGAGTCAGGGGGAGATAATCCCTCCCACATGATTACAGAAGTAAAACAAGAACCTGTTGATAATTACTGTGATTCCCTGGATTCTGTGTTACCAAGTGATACAAGGGAGATAAACAGGGAGGAACTAGAAATGATAAAGACAGAACTAGGCAGCGCACCCGAGAACAACAGCAGTGGACCAAGAACTTCAAGTGCGAAACCAACTCCAGCAGTTCATCCTTCAGTCCTTGCACAGAATGTGCCTCAGAATACCGTGCTGTTTGCACACAGGATAATAAAGACAGTGATACCTATGGCCAATGTAGCCTCTTCAGAGATACCTCTCTCTGTAAACACAAACACAGGGGGGAATATGATATCCTTCCCACTAAAGACTTCCATAGCTGGAAATTCTTTGTATCTGCAGAATAATTCTCTACCTCAGACACTGTTAGTAAATCCCCAGAATGCAACACTAGTCCATCCACTGGGACTGAATCTTCAGGGCTCCTCCCAGATCCCGGGATCTATTCCTAGGGCAGCTAACTTTACGGTGTTACCAAATTTAGTTCAGAGGGGCTTTATATCATCAAAACCTTTTATTGTGACAGGAGGGCAGCAGGTTACAGCAGGAAGGCAGCAAACTTTAGCAGGAGCACAGCAGCCTAATACACGAGAACAGCAACCTAATACAGGAGCACAGCAACCTAATACAGGAGCACAGCAACCTAATATGGGAGCATGGCAGCCTAATAGAGGAACACAACAGCCTACAATAGGAGCACTGCAGCTTAATATAGGAGTACAACAGCCTAATATAGGAGCGCAGCAGTCTACAATAGGAGCACAGCAACCTGTAGGATTGCAGCAGGTTTCAGCTGAGATGATCAGTATATGATGTCTTCTATTTCATATTGTCAGCATAGTCTGATAAAAAGCTCATTTTTATGATAATTAGTTAATTTTTTTTCAGTCTGTAGAGGAAAGTAAACTTAAGAGGGCACTGTCTGAGAAAGATGACAGGGCGAGGACCAGAAAAAGGTTTGCCAGTGTTGCCGGGAAGGAAACACAAGAAGAGGACCAGTCCAAGACAATACATAGCAATGGTAAGTTAATTGAGAAAGATTCTCAAGTTTTTAGCTCACCAGGACCAAAGATTCGAGTGATCTTCTCTGATCAGAATTTGTCCTTTCTCTGTTGTTGTTGCTGTCATCATTGTGATTATAAACTTTTTTTTTACAATTTCAAGTTCTTGTTCAGAACCACTGGTCCAATTTCATCAAACTTTGAGTATCCATGGGTAAAAGGAATTCAAGTTTGATCAAATGAAAGACCACACTCACTTCCATAGGGAGATAGTTATAAATTAGTGAAAAGTTAATGGCAGCTCTGAAGAATTATCTTCTCACACTTGGTCAAGAGATGTAAAAGCATCCTCAGTTTGTGTAGATTCAAATTTGTTCAAATCATGAAATCCCCCCCCCCCCCCCCCCCCCCCCGGGGTAAGGTAGGGCCACAATGACCAAAGTTTTACATAGGAACACAAAGGAAAAGTATTATAAAAAAAAATATCAAGAACAGCAAAACCATGATTGGTCATATTTATGTGAAAGCATCCTCAGGTAGTGTAGGTTCAAGTTTGTTCAAATCATGACCCCAGGATTAAAGGGGGGCAGACTGTCTGACCAAAGAATTAAATCATTTAAACTCTTCTTTTCAAGAACAGCAAATCATATATGGACCTATTCATATAAAAGCATCCTGAAAGCATCCTAAAATAGTGTAGAATGAAGTTTATTCAAATCTTGATCCAATCAGGGCTAGGGAGGGGTGATCAATTATTTACAAAAGAATACATAAGAAAAATCTTTTAATGTCTTCTTCTCAAGAACAACAAAGCTATAATTGGTCATATTTATATGGAAACATCCTCAGGTAGTGTAAAGTTTGTTCAAATCATGACCCCCAGGAGTAGGGTAGGGCCACAATGGGGGATCAAAGTTTTACAAAGCAATGCATGAAAAATCTTTCAAAATCTTCTTTCTCAAGAACAGAAAAGCCATGATTGCTCAAATTTATATGGAAGCATCCACAGGTAATGTAGATTTAAATTTATCCAAATCATGACCCTGGGGGTTAGGGAGAGGACACAAAGGGCAATCAAATTTTATGAAGGAATATGTAGAAAAAAATTATTATAAATCTCTTTACAAGAACAACAAAGCCATGATTGTTCATATTTATATGGGAGCATTCTCAGGAAGTGAAGATTCTAGGTTGTTGAATTCATGACCTCCCCCCCCCCCCCCCCCCCCCTTTGGTAGACAGGGACCCCAATGGGTGATCGAATTATACATAGGAATAAGGAATACATGGGGAAAAAATCTTTTCAAGAACAGAAAAGCCATGATTAGTCACATTAATTCAGAAGCATCCTCATATACAGTTAAACTTCGTTATCTCGAAGTAGACGGGACCGTTGATGAACTTCGAGATATCCGGGGGTTCGACATATGGAGGGTTATAATTCTAATGAATTTCAATTAAACTTAGTGCAGTGAACATGCACTTAATAGTAGAAACATGTCAAATTCCTTCTTGTTTGAAATTCTGTATACGATTTCTTTAATATACATGTACATGTATTTAGCATTAAAAAGATTTTAACATCCTCTTTATAATTCACAGAACAATACTTTGTATAATATGCACAGTTGTATAATCCTTTTAACAACCCGGCAAATCAACCGCTAGCATCGTTTCCCATGTATACATAACCGGATATCGTGTATGCATTGTAAATTTAAAACCGGTTGCTGTCAGAATAACGCAAACGAAATATACAATTTTTTTTATTGGAAAAACATGTTCATACATGTATAATCAGTTAAAAACAAAGATTTTACCACAGTGAAATCAAATGCAAAAGAAGAAACACGCACTTTTGTTTAACACTGAATCACAGGGCACTATAGCACGTTTTCACTGCGACACACGCTCACATGATGGTGTGTACAGATGATTGTAAATTCTGCACGCACATACAGGAAAAATAAATTCTAATTGCATTAAATTATAGAATTTTGTTTCACTTTGATGTTTATAATTTTCGCTTTCATATGCATAAACTATGCAAGCGCGCATATTACACATAGCATAAATAGCGATTATCAAGATAAATGTACCCCAGCTACAAAACAACGTGTCATCCACGCGTATGCATAAGACTAATACACACAACCTTTGGCTTGCATAATTAAAATCAAGGTAAGCCATACATACACCTCCTATTATTATCGCGCTATTATCTGTTGATCACAGGAACACAGGTAACCCGTGCGTGACAGACAGGTGGCTGTTCAGTTTACCCAACGGACTTGATCATCAGAGCGGAAAATTATCCTGACTTCGAGATAACGCAAGTGATTTTAATGAATGGGTACACAATTTTACTTCGAGATAACCGGTGTGTTCGACATTACCGTGTTCGACATAGAGGGGTTTATTTTGATCATTTATAAAGCAAATTTCGTCGGGACCGCGGCCTTACTTCGACATATCCGGGGTATTCGAGATATCCGTGTTCGAGATTTCGAAGTTTAGCTGTAGTGTAGATTCATTTTTTTTTTCAAATCATGCCCTCTCACACCCCCCCCCCCCCCAATATTTTTTACATTTCATCTTTTCAATGCTGAACTGATGTCTGCTTTTTCCTAGCCTAGTACAAGACTATTCTGTTGATCCCTGCCCATCTTATTCCTCTTGGGTTTGGACAACAGTTGAAATTGTTTTATTTTATACTTCTATGGATCCTTTACAGTGATATACTCATGTGACTGTTTACATATATAAACATGATAAATATTCTCAATTGTCTGCCAAAATATTTGTGTATATTTCAATGAAATGGTAGAACACCATATTCAGAAGTCATATAACTATGATTTAGATACATCTGATGATTGTCTTGATGTTGACGAGGATGATATTCAGTCAGAAGCTGATGATTTTGATGAAAATCATAGCCGATCATCTGAAGGCAGTGAAATTGGAGAAGATACGGAAAAACCATCAAAGCCTGCCACAGGCAAGTCAAATATATTTCCTCGGCAGAAGAAAAAAAGATTCAAGAAAAGCACAGATGAAGAAATCAGCAGGTTGTTTGAGGCTCGACAAACTGCAGGCACCAGGAAAAATACCACATGGGGATGTAAAATGATTCAAGGTAAGCCAGAGAGAGAAGGATGTAAAATATCAGTAATACTGGAACAAGTTTCATTAATTATTATTTATTTCATCGATGCAATTTGCTTTGAATTGTTGTTCCACCTGGATCTGGGAGAAATCTCAAGTTGATCTGCAGGATCCATGTGGATCACAGGAGTACTTTGAAATGTTTTTTTTTTCTGCAGAAATTTCTTAATTTCTAATTTGATAAATTATTGATAAATTGATAATTTATACTGTGTAACAGTACATTACATGACATATTAATGCTAAAATAATAAAAATGACAAGATGTGTTTGTGAAACACTGATGGCTCTGTATGACAGCTTTTGGCGACGGTTGAAGTTTCTCAAATGCAAGTCAAACTCCAAGACCAAGGGACGAAAAATGTTGTTGCCCAAAAAAGGACTTGTTCTCAATGAATACCTGTGAAAAATCAAAGCCCACTCACTTACCTTAAAAAAGTTATGGTTAAGGTTAAATTTTTTTTTAAATGTAGGTCAAACTCCTAGGTCAAGGTCAAAGGGTCAAATTAAATGTACCAGGGGAAAGGCCTTGTCATAGAAAATAAACATGTGAAGTATTAAAGCCTTAGAACTAAATGCTCAAAGTTATGTCCAAGGTTAAAGTTTTTTAAAAGTGGGACAAACTCAAAGGTCAAGGTCAAAATATTTATATCCGTGGAAAGGTCTTGTCACAATGAATACACATTCATGAAGTATGAAAGCCCTTGCACCAACTGTTCAAATGTTATGACCAAGGTTAAAGTTGGGTAAATTCTTGCAAAATTGGGTCAAACGTCAAGGTGAAGCTGTCAATTATGTTGGTACCCAAAGAAAGGCCTTGTCACAAAGAATACACATGCGAAATATGAGAGCCATAGCCCCAACCAATCAAATGTTATGGGCAATGTTAAAGTTTTTGCTGACAAAGAAACAGACAGACGGACGGACAGGACAAAAACTCTAAATCCCTGAATCTTCGATTACGGTGGCATAAAAAAGTCTTAGGGAATGAAAAATTTCATAATGAATAAAATAAGTGTTCAAGGAGGTACAAGAGTTCTTAGTAGGCCATTTTTCATCAGTCAGTTGGAGGTGCCAAATAGATAGTTGTCTCCTGTTTTCACTGAAATTGGGAATTTTAATTTGGGTCTGTCTGTCAGTTTTCTGTCTGTACGTAATTTTATCACAGAGTGGGGTTGAAATTTAGTACAGGGTTCTATCCACTACAGACACTGGTCCATAATATGTCTGAAAATTCTTATGGGGTTAAGTCTGTATTTATTTTAACCTCGCACAGTCACATCAAGCATAAATAAAACCTGTTATTGAGGGGTTAACCCCACAATACGGAAATAACTCCAGAATACTGCAAAATATGCATAATTAACCTCACAGTGTGCATCTGGTAAGAGCATAAAACTGCAGTATGAAAGAATGTACAGAAAATTATTTGGACATATGCATCCAGCTATAGACTTAACTACCGAAAATATCCCCATACCGTTATTTTTTGCACAATGCATCTGTAGTCTGTATGTCTGTCTGTATGTAACACTTTAGTTTCCAGATGCTATCTCAAAAAACTTTGATGTTTTCTGATGAATTTCTATATCACAATTCGCTATGCCTTCAGAAGAACCCTGTTAATTTTGAGGTAAAAAGGTCAAGGTGATAAATTCATAAGCCTGTCTTTGTGTAAAACTTTCATTTCCAGTGATATTTTTAAAAGTCTGAGCTTTTGTGATGAAATTTTTTATCACAATTCACTATGGCCGTAAATAGACTCCTTTTGAATTTGACGTCAAAAGATCAAGGCTAGAAAAGAAAGGGTTTCAAACAGACAGGATATCAGACAGACAGACCCAAATTAATATCCCCCACTTTCAGTGAAAAAAGGAGACAGACTGACGAAGTTAAAAATACATTCTTACATTGTTGAAGTATTTTTTTCTTTTCTTCAGACTGGAGTAAAGAGAGAAGAGGAGAAGAGATAGATTTTGAAACAGTTTCACCAACTCAGCTCAACAAACTGCTGGAGAAGTTTTACTGCGAGGCCAGGCCCGAGAAAGATGGTCAAGTTTACCATAAAAATACATTGAAGAATCTGAGAGCTGCCATAAATCGGAGACTGGGAGATTTAAAGAGAAGTGTAGACATTGTAAAAGATAAGGAATTTAGGTCATCTAATGGAGTCTTAGCGGGCTTATTGAAAGAGCGTGCAAGGGAGGGCATAGGAGTTTCCACACAGCACAAAGAAATCATAGAAAAATCTGATCTGGAGAAAATATCAGCTTATTTTAAACATGCACTGCTGAACCCGATAATTCTCAGACAATGTGTTTACTTCCATCTAACTGTTCACTTCATATGTCGAGCTCACGAGTTCCGGAAAGACCTTAAGATAGACTCATTCACATTCCACATAGATGACAATGGTGAATATGTCAATCATGAAATTCGACTAAAAGGTGTTAGAAATGCAGAAATAACCATGGATAAGCGCATGTATGCAACACACGAAGACACATGTCCTGTAAAAATGTTAAAATTACTTATAGATAAAACAGATGATTGTGCCTCCGCACTTTTTAATAATTACAGAAAAGACGCTATGTTTCTGCCAAGGAGTACGAGTAAGTGGTACAAGGATGCCCCCCTGACACAAAGAACCATTACTGACTTTATGAAGGACATCAGTAAGGCAGCTGACCTTTCTCGTATTTATACAGGACAATGTTTACGGGCCACTGCCATTCAGCACCTCACTGATGAGGGTTTTGAGGGCGAAGATATTGTGTATATGACTGGCTATAAAAATGGGAAATCTCTGAAGTCCAACAATAAGAAGATTTCTGCATCACAGAAAAGAAACCTTAGTTGCTCTTTATCTAAAATGATAAACCCATTAAACAAATGAATAAAAGAATACTAAAATTCTCTCTTTGTTTGATCAGCCCACAAGTAGTTGAAAGTACTGATTGTTTCCAAAGCTGTTATGTAGGTTCCTTTTCACAATTTCACCACAAGACTTGCTTAGATAAGGAAAAACCCCAGAAAGCAGATGTCAAAATTCTGTCATCCATTTCCTGCAGGAAACAATGCAAACCATATCACAGACATTGTAATAACATAATGTCACCATATGTTGTTCAAGGGACTTAATTCAAACATTTTTGAGGCACATCGCTATCGTTGCTTTCATCTCAGCATTTCCAGTATATATACTGCGGCGATAAAGTTTTACATAGTAGGAGATATTTTAATGCCCCGCCATGAATGTGACCAGGACATAGAGTTTGTCATGTCTGTCTTCCGTCCCTCCATCACACTTTGCGTTTATTTCAGTTCAAACCTCAGTTTCAAAGAAACTATTCAAGATATTTTTATCAAGCTTCATTTGCTGATAGATATTGATGAGAGCTATTCAACTGCATCAACCTTTTTTTGACCTTTACCTTTCCTTTGACCTTGACCTCACTTTTTTTGAATAAGTGTTTAGCTCAGTTTTAAAGAAACCATTCATAATATTTTTATCAAACTTCATATGCTGGTACATACTGATGTAAGCTTTTCAACCACTTCGACCTTTCCTTTGACCTTGACCTCACTTTTTTGAAATAAGTGTTTAGCTCAGTTTTAAATAAACCATTCAAGATATTTTTATCAAACTTAATATGCTGATATGTATTAGTGAGAGCTATTTACATGTAACTGCATTAAAAACTTTTGACCTCACACTTTCCTGTGACCTTGACCTCACTTTTCTTTAATTTGCATTTTGCTTAGTATTAAAGAAACCATTTAAGATATTTGAATGTAAACTTATGCATAATTTGGTGAGAATTTATCATTTATACCTAATTTTTAGATTTCAATTTAAATTTTAAAGAAGCTTTTCAAGATATTCTCATCAAATTTCATACACTAATACAAATTTTCATGTTGCGTTACTAATGTACTCTTGAAGGGTCCTATGAACATATTTCTAATTTACATAGAAATATATAGGGGAGAAAGCTTTAAAAATCTCTTTTTTATCACGACACTGGTCCAGAAAAAAATGAAACAAATGTGAAAGCATCCTGGTGTATATTCTAGATTCTTTTGAAATGAATTAACGTACTGTAAAAATTTAAATAGATAAACTGATGTGATGTCGAAGATTGATACGACCAGGGTTGACGGATAAAGGACCAAGTTTTCACATTTATTAACAGAAAGAAAAGGAATAAAATTTTACCACTTATGGCCTTTGAGCGGTGATGGATCTTTCGTGCCAACGACTACTGCGACACTGAAAATCGATTTATATGGTGACATCCGAAGGAACAGTATCCACGTCATACCATTGATTCAAACCTATGACATAACGATTGATACTTACCCTGTGACTCTACATTATTATTTGTAAATTTACTTACTTTTTCATTGATTATTTCCAAAATTATTTTGTTAAAGAGTTTGTATCCTGTTTTCCAAAGTATTGAGAATTTTTTTCAAGTATATTTTTAGAATCTACAGACATACCATAATAAAAAATCAAAACAAAAATGGGGATCAATGCGCTTCTTTTGGCGCCACGGGGCATTTAAGGGGGCCGACTGGGGTTTTCATTGCGCAATACTTAGCGCAGCATAGTAAAATAAAGCGTATTAACTCTTTTAAAGCAACTATTTTTACAAAATTTATAATAAATAACAAATTTAGCAAATATGAGGTTAAAAAATCAAATTGTGTTTTTAATTAACTGATTTTTTAACGATTTTTCAAATGATGGGTAGAAAGACGTCGTAATAGTGTGTTTTTGACGTTCTGAATAACCGAAGTTCTTTAAGCGGGGTCATTAATTATGCCATAAAATAAAAAGTATAAAATATATGCTCTTGAAATTTTAAACATAGGAAATTGAAAATCTAGCAATCATTGTTATTATTTTTTATGTAAATCTGTGGTACCTGTCATGTTTTGTTGTACTCCATAAAAACCGGAAAATTTCATGAATTTTAACATTTTGAGATGCCCCCTCTGGAAACCAGACGGTAGAATTTTGTGTTTCTTGCACAAAATGTACAATATAGTATTACCCATCAAATAATAAAATTTGAGCAAAATGTCTATAGTAGTATTTGTATAATTTGCTCCGAAGTGCGAAAAAATGGTATTTTCCTACATAATCCTATAGTAAATGTATCTGTATTTTGAGACGGTTCCTCAAAAATAACCAGACGGTAGATTTTCACTAAACTTGGCGTGTATACTGAAGTCAATGTAAGGTATATATGATATAAAAATAAAGAGTTTCTCTATAGTAGTTTTCACACAATAAAACCCCAGTCGGCTCCCTTAATATGACTTTTTTGCACTGCAATTAAGCCTAACACATAAATCAGCTTTCCCTCTAATATTTTTTATTCAATAAATTATGGGAACAGACACAATCTTTCATCATCTTAAATAGTCAAATTAAAATTTATTAGAACAATAAATGTTTTGAATTACTTCAAGAGTGAATTATTTGACCTTTCTGCACTCAAAAATGTCACTTTTTTTTCCTGGCATTAAAAATTTAACAAGCAGTAAAATCATTTGAAAGTAGTGACATGTTTCTGATTTTAAGCAGATTGGTTAAAATTATGTCATATATTCAGAAAAGAAAATTTAAAAGGGGGGTCTGTGATCTTAATTTTTAATTAAACCTGTCATGAACCTTATTTATAAAGTGAAATTAAATTCAGTATATTCATTCAAGTTTAATTGGGAGATCGATGTACCAAATTCTTTATGTAAAGCATTATGGATTTACAATATAAAGGACAATCAAGATAACAAAACAAACTACAAAAAACTACAAACTACAAAAATACATTTTTAAATAAAACTATATATTAATACTTTATTTGATTTGATATTAATTTTCTATTTCCCAATTTAAAATTCACTCTATAGTCTGGTTGTGTAATTTTCTTTTATAGGTCAAATATTGACTGAAGTTTTTCATAGAAACTTGAAACAATTATATTACACTGAATTGTCTACGGATTTTTCTGTTTAATCGAAAAGGGAGCACATGTTAGATGCAACTGATCGACAGACACTTACTCCTTCGTGTCACCTGATCCCTCTTCCGTTTTCAGATGTCTGTAGTATCTTTGCTCAAAATATGATATGCAGTGTTTTAATGGATTTTTGTGCCTGGTCACTGTTCTTGTTTTCCATACGTAATGTAAATATTGGAAATACATCTCAAATAACAGTCAATGCTACTGCTTTTATTTAAAAAATAATATTCATTCAGTCATTTTTGTAGTTTTTTAAATATAACATTCTTTAGATAGTTTTAAGGTTATTGGGCACAAAATGCATGAATGCTAGTATAAAGAAGGCACGAAAAATATTGATTTTTTAACATGCACTTTTAGCTTATTAAAGTATTAAATCTGATTTGTAAATGTGCATTGTTCACGTTGATTCCTCCATTTTCATTCCTGTGACCGGTCGGCAGGGGATGCTCACCCATCCATGGCACCTGATCCCACCTCTAACTTTTGAGGTCCGTGTTTGCTATGTATCGTTTCATTGGACTTTCGAGATTGAATACTGTTTGTTATCTTCATATTTCATAATCTAAATAAAAATAAAAATATAGAAAGGGTGGAGAGACAATGATTTTCTATTTCTTAACATAATTTTCTATTTTGTATATTTATATTTTCTTATTTTTTTTTTTATTTTAGAATTTTTTATTTTAGATTTAAAAAAAAAATATTTGATGAAAATATAGAATTGCAAAATTACAAAATTTGTAACGGCGATATGTAATTTTAAATCGTTCTCTTTCGCCGCGCTCTGTCACCACCGATATCCCTTCAAATTTCTGTTCGACGGAACTGTTGTACATGTAGATACTTTACGTGATTGAAAAAAATTAACAGATGTTGAATGGATACCTTCAGAGAAACTTTTTTTCGTTGTTTTCAGTTGATATCGATCGATCTTCTCTTAGTTCTATTTCTAATTTATTTATTGCTTAATGCATGTTGTTGTTGTTGTTTAGGTACAGTAGCTACTCTATACATGTTGCTCTCCAACCTTCTCCTGGTCAATCTTGTTACCGCCATGTTTAGGTACAGTGGCTGCTCTGTACATGTTGTTCTCCAACCTTCTCCTGGTTAATCGAGGTATTGCTATGTTTAGGTACAGTGGCTGCTCTGTACATGTTGTTCTCCAACCTTCTCCTGGTCAATCTAGCTATCGCCATCTTTAAGTACAGTGTCTGCTCTATACATGTTGTTTCCAACCTTCTCCTATCTTGTTATCTCCATGTTTAGGTACAGTGGCTGCTCTATATATATTGTTCTCCAACCTTAAGCTTCTCCTGGTCAATCTTGTAATCGCCATGTTTAGGTACAGTGGCTGCTTTATACATGATGTTCTGTGACCTCCTTTGGGTGAATCTTGCTATCGCTATGTTTAGGTACATGTACAGTAGTGAAAAAAGAAACCATCTTTTAGAGAGTGTCTTCTTGTGGTTTTTGTTTATTTACTTACTATTTTTTAGTATAATTTTGCTGTTAGCTTTGTTCTGTTTTTGTTTGTTTGTTTGTTTGTTTTGTTAATTTTTTTTTTTTTTTTTTTTTTTTTTGCTATTTCAAAATTTGGTTTTAATCCTAATATTTATTTTCAAATTAGTATTATAATTTTAGAAAGAAAAACTAGAGCAAAGCTCGTTGCAAAGCAACGAATAGGTCTTCCGTCTGATTTTCAGAAGAACTGCATGTAAGATGGGTAAATGATAAATAAACCATTCATTAAAAAGAAGGCCTCTACATCAAAAATGATGTCGATCTATGTTTAGTATTTTATGACTAAATTCTATGCTGATTATTGTTAAATGAAGCAAAGCAAGACAACTTCTGGTTTGACCAGAAGTGCCTCCA